ACTTTGTATATGTTTGTAGATTTATGAATTTTAGAAATCACTAAAATAATATTAAAAGCTAACAATCATTTTTATTGGTATTTTGCGTGATCGTAAAAAGCATGTTCTTATTAATACGTGCATAAAATTAATTTTCTCTCATTAGTAGGAAAATAGTGAAAATTTTTACTCTCTTGCTAAGCTTTCTTGTGGGTGTAAATGTAGTTATTATAAAATTAATTTTTTTCTAAACTTTGTATACAATTGCATGACACCTCCATTTTAAAGGCTTAATTATTTTTTAATTAAAAAAAAGTTATGAATGCATAAATTTTGACAAATATCTTTTTTAAAAAATGAACGAAACTACTGGAATTTTGCAGGCTGACAATAATTTCCGAATTTTCAGAAGAAAATAGAGAAGCAGGAATGCGTAGAAAGAGAAAATAAATTGATGTAAAATTCATAACGCATCTAAACCTCTTCAATGGCTTGAAAAGTGCAAAAATCTCATTGATCAGTTTTGATGCAGAAGTTATTTATTGCCAATTAATAAATAAACAAATTTGAAAAGAGAAAAAAGAACTTGAGATGAAGTTTTGATTCAAAGAATATTCGAAAAAACATGAGGTTTATACCTAAGGGTATAAAGAAAATGTGCTTTTCAAAAACTCTTTATTTGAAACCTATTCCTCATTTGACATTATAATATTATAACAACAAAAAAAAAAAACAACCAAACTGGAAAAAATAAATGTTCATGTTAAGTTGATGTTTTTATCAAAAAAGAAAACACGGAAAAAAAAAAGAAAAATTTTATTTGATAATGAGCCGCATAAATTATCCCAGGACTTCTATTTTCAATCCGTATTCTTAAATTTTTACCAAAAAAAAAAAGAAAATATTAAGCAGAACAAAAAAAATTGACTAAAATATACAAAAGTTCTTGGTATTCTATAAAAAGTCAAGTAAGAATTTTAGTATAATTTTACGCGTAAAATAATCCTTAGCTACCGTAAAAGAAAAAAAATTCTTAATTTAACAAAAATGATGAAATGGGATTCAAATTTCAGGATAATAAAAATATTTTTTTTTATAAAATATTCTTCATAACAATTATTATTATTTTCTCTTCTCTGGGTTACAAATAAAAGTTTTTATCAACAAAGAAAACAAAAATTTTTCCAAAAAAATAAGAAATTTCCTTGAATACTGAATTCATTAAAAAGGAATTTTTATAATTTTGTTGAATTTTTTAAGTATATTTAAGTTTTAAATTTAAGATATTAAATACACGCACTTAAATTAATGTGTAATATAAGAAAATAATTTAGATTCACTAGAAACTAAAATAATTTTCTTTTTTAAATAAGAATGTCAGCTAGGAAGTATTATTTAATGTACATGTGTAAAATTACAAAGCCTTACCAATTCTATAGATCATTATTGAGAATTAGACGTTAAAATGAAATTTAAGCTATTCTTTGATAATTTAATAATACAATATCGTAATTCGTTTTGTATAAAATATTTGGAATTGTCAAGAAAATTAAATAATGAATTTTTGGTTCTTTTTTGTTTAAGTGTAAAATATTCACACTTTATACCGTAAATAAAAATTATTTTTAATTCTTCTCAAGAATTTCTTTTGACTATTAAACGGATTTTTATTAAATAATCCATAATAAAGGCATAGTTTTTTACGGTCTATATTCTTAAATAGCTTAATTGATGTCCTTGCAAAAATTTGTAATTGTGATCATTATTATTCATAATAATTTTTATTGCTTTTTCAGCATATTTATTAAATTTTTAGTAGTTACAAATAATTATATGAAAAATAAAAAAATTAATACCAACTTTCTTAATAGCATCTCAACTTTTGATAAGTTAAAATCTCACATCAAAAATAAAAGCAGGCGTTGAATATAAATACGGAATCGCCTGTCGAAAAATTGACAATACGAGTATTATCAAATTGGTTTTCTATACATGATAAACAGATGCTACTAAAAAATTACATTCATTACCTCTTGAATTTTCTAATATTCCAATACTAACATCAAAACTTACGTGAAAGTTTTTTAACTGACATTAAAACCGGTATGTTGAAGAACAAATTTTCCCCTATAATTATGCAATGAGTTCCACGAACTTTATTGGATTAAAATTTTATTATTGAATGGACAGCTATACTAGGTATTAATAAGTAATTTTAATTCAAATTTTAATTAAAATGTTAATAAAAGGTATTTGTTATCTGCCACATCGAATTGAAAACTAGTATAAGGAGTAAAAAAGTAAAAATATGTTTGAAATTTGATACTACATTCAAAGCAATAAGATATTTCAAAGAGAACCGCAAATTAGACCTCATAAACAGCTTGTGGAATTAGAATATTATTTTACTTTTATAATTGTGACACGTTGAGAGAAAAGGAAGGTATTCTTGATTAACAATTAGTTTGTCTGGTACACCTTCCGAAACCCATCTTTCAGATAAATCCGGGGATATATTCCAAAATGACAAGACCGCTATAGCGATGGTCTACCCAAAGTGTCCCTTCTCTCATGGAACAACACTTTACATTCATTTCAAAGGTGCATCAAGGTCTCTTCCTCTTCCCCACAGAACCTGCAAGACTCGTCTGTCCCTAAGCCCATTCTGCTTAGGTATTCTTTATGGCAACAGTTTCCTATTACATGAGAACCCGTGATAACTCTTGCGTGATTCTTCGACATACTTATGATCGCTTTAATAAGCTCAATACTGTAATTACCAAAAAGACATTTTGCTTGCCGGCGCCTCAAATCAGCATTATTAAAAATATTAGTTAATTTCCTTCACACAAATAATTTCCAACAAGCCTTGTGATTTTCATTAAAATTTGGATTTTATGTTTGATTTGTTCTTTGAACTTGGTGGCGTGATAGATGCTACAAGATATGAATTAACATGCTTATATTTTTTTTTAAATCTGCAACATTGTTACAATGCTTTTATTGTCTGGTACCAAGGTATTTTCCGTTGTTGTTTTCTATAATAACGCGATGTTCATATTGTACTATCCTGCATAAAAATATTAACATAAGTATATTTGTGATATATTTTTGTTCACGCCCAATATAATGAAGCAAAATAAGGTGGCATAATTGATAAAAATGAAAATTTTATGTTGAAAAATTATTTTTTTTTAAACGCGGTCATCACGTAGACCATAGCAACTAACCCGATTAACACAATTAATTTTTATTAAAATAATGTCATGTAATTATAATCGACTGTTATTGTTATAATTACATGACATGCAAAAATTTATCACCTATTTTTGTTTCAATTCATTTTTATAAATTTTAATTATGTAATTTTAATCATTAATCACAATAATGTCAAAAACTCGTAAAGAAATTTAATAAAATGACTATATATGAAAGGATAAGCAAATTGGTTTTTAATACCCTCATTATAATGCCTTACCTAATGCATGGCATATTTATGATAACGATAAATTAAATTTGAATTGAATGTTATATTTTGATTAAATTTGATTTTAGAAACATTAAGTTTGAATATAAAATTATAGCTTTCAAGGCGTTCCAGGTTTCAAGGTATTTCTAAGTTAATTAAATTTATATATTGGAAAAGGGATCAATATTTTGAGTAAAAACTAACCGTATTTTGTTTTCTAAAATTTATACAATTTTACAGTATTTGTCAAAATGAAACATATATTGGGCAAAGTGAGTAAAAGTCACTTAACAATATAATGAACTTAACAGCGTTTTACCAATAGCAAAAGGCAGCGATTTCTATCTTATTAAATGAGAAATTCGCCTGTATTCTGCTGTTAGAATACGTTTAATATTTTGTTGTAATTTGAGGCCTGAATTCAAATGGCAAGTATTCCTTTCATTCATTTGGTTTTTATTATTAGCCATATTAGTATATGAATAGTATAGTATAAAATATTAAATTTTTCGAATAAAATATAGAACTTTTATAAATTAATATTTATAGGTTATAGGTTACTAGTAGGTGTGTTTCGGTTTTTTTTTTTTTCAAAATTTCCAAATTTCCCAATATGCAATATAAGCGCAAGTGCACTTTTTCGAACTTGTATACAAAATCATAATTTCTCTTCGGCTTGGAATTTTGAAAACACCTGGAAAAACATAAGTCTTTTAAAAGTTTGTAAAAAATTCTAGAACAGATTATATTCAGAACGAGAATTTTTTCTTATTAGTTTCATATTCCATTTAGGAGAAGGCCTACTATTTGACCTTTTAGAGGTTAAGCTTCAGTTTTATAAGTCATATTATGTTAAATAGAGGGGGTGACAATAATGTCGTATATTTTTTTATGTTAAAAATTTAAGGTTATCAATATTACTTGATTACTTTTATCGGTATTCAATATTGAATATTATAGATATAAAAAAATCGCGTAAATTTAAAGGAGGATATAGATTTTTAAAGAGTCTAGTTAAAGTAAAATTTTAATCTGTTCTGCTGTTGTTGTGAAAAGATCATCTGACTTTCATATTAAATAAAATTTACGCATTTTAGATATAAAATACATAAAAATTCTCATAAAAATTGAAAAAACAAAAATCGGTTTACAAACCGATAAGTTGCCCCAGGATGTATTATTAGAATATACACTAACAAAATATTTTTTAATTCTAATAAATTAATTTTTCTATTTGTAAATATAAAAATCTTAAAACTAAAAATATTGAGAAAAATTTTTAGATTCCGAATGTGAATACTACAGCTTCTGTTTCCTACAATAATATTCAAAAATTAAACGCATAATGCTCTCAATATCCGTGGCATTCTCATTCCTGTTCATTATCAAAATCAAAATAAATAATTTAGTTATACGATTATAATTTGAAATCTCCTTTAAAATAGTTAATCCGTTGAAAATGCATAAATATGCATAAAATTTATGAAACAATACCTGTAATTTTAAAGAAAAAAAAAAAATAATAAAACTATTTAATTACATAATTACTTTTTAATCAATTTTATTCTTTCTAGAATGGAAGAATCCTTGTATTTCTTTATAACTTTAAATTTTTCTCCTCTTTTGCTTTTCCTTATTTATCCTGATTTCCTTCTTATATAAACGAAATTTATTTTTAATTAATATTTAGGTGCGTATAATTTTTATTTCCTATTTTATTTTAATTTTTTCTTTTATATATTTTCCGTGTATGATGAACACAGCTATAACAAAAAAAAAATTTTGTGTAAATGTTATTCGCTCGTTTTTTTATCTTCTTGTATTTTTTGTTTTTGTTCTTTTACAAATTAAATTATATTTAACTTTGTAAGTAAATATGTATGTATATATATATAGAATTCAAAATAAATTAATTTCGTATATCTCATATAATTTTTAATTGGTTCCTGGATTCCTTCTCTTATACAATACGCATATAAAGAAGGTTAAGAGAACGATGCTGAATTGAAAAAAATAAAGAGTAAAGGATATTTTTTTTTTTTTAATTTTCAATTTAATTTCAAATTAATTTGAAATTTTGTTTGTTTTTTTTTTTTTGTTAAATAAAAGTTACGATATTTGTAGCGGAAGTCAAAAGATATTTTTTAAATGAATATTTCTTTTATTTTGATAAAATAACAGTTAATTATAATTTATTAATAATTTTTTATATTTTTTAATTTAAATCATTTCCTTTTTTTTTTTTAATATTAATAATTTTGCTTTTTTTTTGTATTTATTTTATGTAATTTTATTGATTTTAAATGTTACATGAATAATAGTGTAGTTATAAATTTTTTCTTTTTATATGCTTACATTTAACGCTACACATTTAGTATATGGATAAATAAATAATTTTAATTTTTTTTGTGGATAAATTTAAATAACGATTATTTAATATTTTTTTTTCTTTTCAATTTTTTCTGAAATTCACAACAGCTAGTTTGTTACATATACATACATAAAAACAGTGAATATTTTATTTTTTTATTTAATTAATTTTTGTTAATATTTTTGAATTAGAGCAATATTTAATTGTATTAAGTATTGCTTAAAATTTAATTATTTTTTTTTTTTTTAATTTATTTTTATAATAATTTTTTTAACATTTATATTTTTACACATTTATACATTTAATATACGCACATTTAAACACGTTGACACGTTTACAACACCGAGATGAACTTAAAAAGAATTGAAAAAATTTTGTTAAAATATTTTTATTTCTACTACACACACATTTAAATAGAAATTACATCGAATTTTTTTTTTATTTAATTTTTTATTATTTTATCATTTTTTTAATTAATTTTTTTTTTTTTGTATTTTGAATATTTTTGATTTTATTCAAAATAGAAAATCATGATTTTCATTTTGGGTTTTAGTTGGTTTTTTTTTTTTTTGGATTTTTTTTAAAGAATTTTTTTTTGTTTTCTTCCTTCCTTCTTCTATTGATGTTACATTATAAAAGAAGATTTTGTTGTTTTGTTTTGTTTTTTTTTTTTTTTGGTTGGCCGATGTTTCTCCTTGATTAATTCAAGGATGCTCTGATCTATATAATATAATAAATTGTATTATATTTGGAAAATTAAATAATCTAGATAATTTTTATATAATAAAAAAAAAAAAAACAAAAAGAAAAAATTATTTTCGAAAAACAAAAAAATTTAAAACTAAAAAATAAAAAATTGAAAAATTAAAAAAAAATTTTTTTTTTTGATATTTTTTATTTTATAATTGTCTTTATAATTTTTAATTATTTTTTTTTTTATTAATTTTTTTTTTTCTATTATTGGTTACTATTGTTGTTAATTACAAGAAATGGTTTAGAAGGTCGCGGTGTCAACCCGTCGACGCGTCGTCACCGTTTGTTTGCTATGTACAAACTGTATGAGTTTCAAAGTTGAACTGATTTCTAAACCTCTGCAAGAATACAAACAAAATAAAACAAAAAAAAAAAAAAACAAAATTAGAACAGAAAAGAAATAAGTATAGATGTAATATATGAGAAAAAGAAGGAAAAAGCACCAAAAAAAAAAAAAAATTAAAACGAAAAAACAAAATCACTTTTACCATCGTCATTCATTTTTTTTTTTTTTTTGCTCTTATTTTCTTTTCATATTCCATTCGGGTTTTATTTATTTGTTTTTGTTTTTTTTTTCTTTCATGTTTTTTCTTCTTTCCTTATGAGCTTAAATACAATATCCATATCCTTATACGATGATGTGAATAGTATGAAAATGGTAAATAAAACAATAACAACAGTAATAAATTGATTATGAAAAAAGAAAAATACACGAAACGAAGTGAAAACGAAAATTTATGTTATACGAAAAAAAAAAAGAAGAAAAACAAATTAAATATAACAGTTTTAAAATAAAAATAAAAGCATTTTTTCCAACTATAATACAATGTATGGCAACACTTTTTTACTATAATCGCTTATTAAAAAGAAATATCCTCCCACTTTTTGGTTTTTAACATTTTGCCTTACAAAATTTCTTATTTTGGCAACAATTATAAAAGTTTTAATATCTAAAGCTCTAGTCTAGAAAAAGACAAAAAATTTCTTATGTTAAAAAGGGGAAGAAAGCTTTTTTTAATAAAGTTTAATCAAACCAACGGTTTTTAGAGTAGCACTTTTCCCCTTAACAAATAAAAATTCTGCCCTTACAAATAATTTACACCACTATTTACTTTCATCATCTTATACCACAAAATATCAAATTATTGCATACATTCAGGATGAAAAAAAAAATATTAAAAGAAGCGTGAACAAAATGGTTTATTGAATTGTTAGATAAGGGAGGTAAGATAAAAAATTGTATTTATAATGACATTGCAATTAACGTTAACCTAAAATTTCTCAACTTCCAAACTTACCGTCTAGAAAAAAACGATATAAAAAATTTAAAACGAGAAAGTTTATTACCAAATAATGGCTATTTTCAAGGGCAATTTTGTCATTTTAAAGTTTCACTACACGGTATCGCGGTAGTAGAAATCAGCCTTTTCTGTTTTTGCAGAATTTAAATATATTTCTGGTTTCAACACAGTAAACAGTTAAAAAATGGAATATTTATTACTTTGAGGGACTATAACTTACACAGTGGAGAAATAAATAAAAATTTTCATCTGGAGAAATAAGTTTCTAGCAAAATATCTCTTTGAATGGATTTCTGTTTGTATACAATTACAATTTTCTAAAAAGAAGTGGAATTTTTGTAAACAGATATATGGAGGAAGAGACGGACGGGTAAAGTGAACGCAATAAGCACTTTTTGGAAAAGAAATGAATTTAGGTTATTTTGGTTACTGATTCGTATAATTTATTCTTGGGCACAAACCACAGAGAAATGTTGAATTATTACAAAATAGTTCATAATTCGAACACTTGTGTTTATAATTATAGAATAAATAAATTTTTATGTGAAGGAATATATTAAAGAATAATGTAAATAATTTTGGAATTTTTAGTATAGATATTCTAAGGATATGTATTTAGGTTTTAAACTAAAAACGCTTTTCTGTTGTAAAATTCAAAAAAAGGTTTGTGCTTTGGGATGTATTTTTCTACTCCTGCCTCTAAATTTCTCCATTTTATTTCTCATATTTCGCATAAAAAGTATAAGTAAGGGTGCTCTCGTTCTGATGGTAGTACTTGCTGGCAGTATCGTGTTGCTTAGATAAGTAGATAAATACAAGCCGCTCAACAAAACCAATGCGATGGTATTAATCTTAATATAGCGTCTCGTAACAGATAATCTGCTTTTGCCCTTGTTTGGATCGTTTCCGCACCTATTGAAATAATAAATTTACTTGAATTCTTTTCCAGATGATGGTTATTTGATAATGGTTTTCCCTAGATTCTACCAATTAAAGTCCATGATTGTTGACTCTTCCATATTTTTACCCTTTCAATACGAACTTGATTCTTTCTTGGTTTTCATTTAACGAGATCATTTATACAATAAGATCTTTCAGAACTTATTATAATACGAGTATTCGGTTTCAATTATTACCGCGCCATATCATGTTAAATTTTCCTTTTTGGTTTAAATCACGGAAAAGCTAAAATATTTACATTTTGGAAATAGTAATTTTTTCATATAATTCAAATTTCAATTTATATAACCTCTTTCGTATTCAATATTTTCCAACAATTTTTGTTTATAAATTTTTAAATGTGCAATTATAAATTTTTGTTTATCTCATATTTATTAGGTTTTTAAGCTAGAAACTAAACCTAAAATAGAAAATATAATTCACTTACTAGAAAACCTAAATAAAGTATTGCTCATAATATTTTAGAACGAAATTTAAATTTGATAATTTGAAGTTAATTTCAATTCAAATTTTTTTTTAGATTTCTTCAGTTCTCAAAATCTTGTGAAAGTATAAAAAACCAAAAGTTTCAGCTAAAATTATTTAAATATTTGTTGTAAATGAAACTTGTTAAAGAAAACTAGAATTTCAACCCAATATTTTCGGAAACAACTTTGGCTTGCACTTCTGAAGAAATATGTCAGGATTCTTAACGACTATTGAGGATATAAACCAACGATATATTGTCTGAATAACAACATATAAAAAATCTGACAGCTTTTCTTAATAAAAATTAGGACAGAAAATGAAATAAAGGAAAGCTTTTATTTAATGGTTGGTTTGCGTCCTGTTTTAATCTATCAAATCTTGAAAAGCTGAATATTATTTCAAAAGCTTCATAACAAAACTTTTTCAAGAAGGATAACAGCTTATTTCTATAAAAGTTTTATCTTAAATTTGAACCTTCTTATAAATTTTACCACTAAATTATGCAGACCTGTATTTATGTTTTCGATTGAAGACAAAAATTTTTCGATATTTTATTTAATCTAAAATTTTGTTAAAATAATTTGAAACTAAAAAACTCTTAAGGACCTAATAAATAAACCTTCTGAAAAGGTTTAAAACCAAAAACTTTAATTAAAGACAAATTGCTATTTACTTGCATTTTATGTTATATGGGGTGAATACAAGAACTGTTACTTGTTATACATTTATATAACAACTTACTTTGTAAATATGTTAAAAGAGTGTTTCGCATAAGAAGATAAATAATTTCACGGATGATTTTTTGACCAATTTCCAGTAAAAAATTGTATGGTTGGGGGTGCAGATATACACTTTTTCGAGCTGCGTTTTTAAAAGAAAAGATATTAGTTTTTTCTTACTTATAAATAATTACTTATAGATTCGGAATCATGCGTCAAAGAGTAAACATTGGGGGGTTGCTTTACACTTAATTAAGTGTTCTTTATTTTTATTGTTCTTTATTTTTACAATCAATTAGATTTGAGCTATAGTTTTCAAAATAATGCTCAGTCATAATTATTGTTTTTTCTTAATTTTTTTTTTAAAAACTCGAAATTTTTTGAAAATTTGTGTTAAAATTTTTTTTTGTTTTTCGCGACATTTTCCTCTATCTCTCATGATTTTACCAGTAAAACCTTTTAAATTAAATGAATTTGAAATTCCTATTGTAAAAAAAGATTTATATTACCCACCATTATTAATTAAGCTTAAATTTGTTAATGATTTACCTGTTGAAATTGTAAATATTCCACAATTCAATTTTAAATTTGGTGATTTTTCTTCGTTAAATAGTTACTTGTCTCTATTTGACCGGCATGAAATTTTAAATGACAAGCTTTGTTTAAGTAAATCTTATAATGAATTTTTAAAAATTTTATTTTTAGGTATTTCTAAATATATTCCAAAGAAAAGTGTAATCAGGTCTCGGCATCCACCTTGGTATAATAAGAGGCTTCTTTGTTTGAAAAATGCGAAGAATAATGCTTATAGAAAATTTAAGCGCAGCTCGCTTTCAGCGGATAAAATAGTCTTTTAGAGGTTGCGAAGGGAATTCGATTTTTTAAGTAAATTTTTATATAAAAACTATATTTTGGCTTGTGAATCGAATATGAAGTCTAACCCTAGATTTTTTTGGACATATATCAATGCGCATAAAAGATCTTCTGGTTTTCCTACTGGCATTTTTATACCCGTACGAACGTATGTTCGAAGGGTATACTAAATTTGCCTTACCGTTTGTAACGCTAAAAAATAACGGTGTTAGATATAGACTCAAGTGTATGTTTTTGATCAGCGTCAAATTCTGAGTTGATTTAGCTTTGTCTGTCCGTCCGTCCGTCCGTCCGTCCGTCCGTCCGAACGATAACTCAAAAACTAATTGAGCTAAGTTCACCAAATTTTCACAAATGATTTATTGTAGTAAGTGCCAGAACCCTATTTAAATTGGACATGATCGGGGTACCGGTTCGGGTAGCTGCCATACAACTTCAAAATTTATTTGGCTATATCTCAGAAACTATAAAAGTTATGGTATTGAAATTTCACACAAACGAATATTAAATAATTAGTAGGGCCAATATGCCCCAGAAAAGTCGTTGAAATTACTTGGCTCCTTCTGGTACCTGCCATACAACTTCAAAAGTTATTTGGCTATATCTCAGAAACTATAAAAGCTGTGATATTGAGATTTCACACAAGTGGATATATTAGTAGGGCCGATGTTTCTGGTAAAAGTCGTTGAAATTACTTGGCTCCTTCTGGTACCTGCCATACAACTTCAAAAGTTATTTGACTATATTTCAGAAACTATTAAAGCTATGGTGTTGAAATTTCACACAAACGAATATATTAGTAGGGCCAATGTGTCTCATAAAAGTCGTTGAAATTACTTGGCTCCTTCTGGTACCTGCCATACAACTTCAAAAGTTATTTGGCTATATCTCAAAAACTATAAAAGCTGTGATATTGAGATTTCACACAAGTGAATATATTAGTAGGGCCGATGTGTTTGATAAAATTCGCTAAAATTTCTTGGCTCTTCCTGGTAGCTGCAATACAACATCAATAGTAG